TTTGCGCATTCTGTTTATAAAAGTGTGCGATAATCTCTTCAGAATCAGTTTTTAGTGAAGCTGGTGATATTGACAGTTATCGCCGCAGGTTGACCTCTGATAAATTGGAAATTTTGGTATTTCTAAAAAGAAATCTTTGATATATTAATGTTATATTTTAAATATTTATTTCAAATTTCATAATATAATTGTTTATTACTTATTATGTATATAGATTAATGTTATTATTTATTATATAAAAGTGACAATAAAAATATTCTATATACTTTTAGAATTGCAATAGAATTGAATATAAACTAAACTGATCATTATAATGTATTTAAATGACATAAGTTATGGTATAGTTAAATTATAGATGTTATACTAATAAAAAGTATATTAAAAATTAAAACCATTGGTATCTTTACAGAATACAAAATTAGATATAATATCGGATCGGTAATCGGCCGATATCAATTCAGTATTGGAAATATCGGATCGGATCGGCCTCCAAAAAGTGGTATCGGTACACCCCTAGTCTAAATTAAGCATATTATTTAGTTTTCCTGCTCATCAATTTTTTTTTTAAATTAAAAACTATTTTAATATTCCCAAAATCCTTTGCGCCTTGAGATCTACACCGATTTACTAGTTTCTCATGAAATCCAAATTAAGGTACTCCTCGAAAATATATTGTACATAAAATTTTCATACTCATACTGGCTTCAGACCACATTCCCTATCAAGGTGGCATCGATATCCTATCGCCTCTAGAACTTTCTCTTTCAGTCTTTATTTCATTCCGTCAGTTATAATCAATAACGTATCCACTTCTATAGATCCTAGCCTATCTCATGCCTTTACCTTTTAGAACCGCTTACTGACCTCCTGACGTCCAGAATACAAAAAGACTTGGATATTCCTTTGATCGCATGTTCAGTTGAATAATTCATTTCGAACAGACCCTTCAAGGAAAACTCCAATAACATAATATTAAATGCAAGCTGAGGCTATGAATGGTTGGAAGCCATCTCCAGTTCCAATTTCGACCTTAGCTCTTCGCCTTGGCTATAACGCAGTTGTACCCTCCATTTGCATCGGGTGGGCGCGGGCAGTGAAATTACGCGTAACCCATCGTGCCACGGTGGATCACGGCGTGAGTGTGAATAAATTTTAAATTTCAAGTCGTGACTGGGCGTAACGAGCCTTTCCAAAATTTTCTCTGGGCGTGAAGATAAATTTCCCGTGAATCACGGAAATTTTAATTTTTAAAATTGTTTTTTTATAAATATAAATTTGCAATTTTATAATTATAAATTTGCAATTTTATAATTATATTATATTTTCTTATTTAATTTAGTTCTTTTTTAAAAAAGAATAATTTATGAAAACTAAAAATCTTCCGCATTTTATAAACAACATCCGGTATCATTTCATTAGTTTTTTTTCTTTTTATGTTTAGGTGTTTTTTATCGCAAAACTTTATGCTAAATTTTGCTTAAACTTTTTACAGAAAAGTCAGATTTATTTTATTTGTAAAGATCTTCAATCTTTAAATGCAACAGAAAGTGAATAATTTTACAAGCTAGGCCAAGAGATAAATGTTGGTGTTACATATGGATAACAAAATAAAAAACTTGTCGATAATCACTGATGGACGGATGACTATAAAAATCTAAGTTTTTTAACCATTATAGGACATATTATCATTAAGAATTTTAATTAAAAACATTTGTTTTGGCCAAGGCAATGGGTGAAAAAAACGTCAAAATTATAAGTTTAGTCAATTCAATTTTAGGAGAATATACAGAAATAGAAAATTACTTAAATATATAGTTGTGAGTGATAACGGAGCAAATCTTATAAGTGCATTCAAAGATGACGAAACGCTAGCATGTATATGCCATATACTAAATAATATTATGCATTATATTTTTGACAATTGTTTAACTGAAATAGCCTTAAATATAAATGGTGTAAAAAAATATTACAATATTTCGCGAGATGGAACTCTGTATATATCATGATACAGAGTTTCTTAAAATCATATTCTGAAATACAGGTGTACTTGTTTAGCAAGCAAGAATTAAATAGATTAGCCACAATTGATATCAGCATCATATGCGAGTTAGACAAATTTTTATCAATATTTATAGAATGCTCGGATAATCTGAGAGCAGATTCCCGTCCCACAGTAAATGATATTTGTCTATGGAAACAAAAATTAATAAAATTTTGTTAACCTTCTGAACGTGCTACAATAATAATCAAAACCTTAAAATACAGAACAAGATTTCTTTTAAAAGATTATTATGCAGCCACTACATAAGGTAGGCTTAATTCTAGATCCGAATTTCAAAAGACTTAAGTTTTTAATAAAAGAAGAAAACGATATATATAAAACAATCTTAAAAATGCTAAATGATATAAAATTAGATGATATGCATAAGTCAATGCCAACATTTATAACTTTCCTAACTTATCCTAAACTCATAAAAAACCGTATATTCTAAATGATCAATACCAACTATCACTTTCCTAATTCATCCTACACTCATAAAAGACCGTATATTCTAAATAAAAAACCTAGAGAATTTCTAGATGATTCTGATGAAGCATCAATATCACCGATGGAAGCTGTGAGGATGAACTTAAAAGATTCATATAAGATAAATAACAAGACAATATTTTGAAGTTTTGGAAGCAGGAATATACATTTCCTTTTTTGAGAAAATTAGCGAGTAATTTTGTCAACCCCGACAAATTAGGCTTCTAGTGAAAGATTATTTTCTGTAGCCATCTCTTATTAGAGGAAAGGCGTACACAATTGAAATAAAAGAAAGATGGACATTCTTCTTTTTCTAAATAAATTTCGATTTATAGATTGTATTTATTTTTTGTTATTAATATGGATTATGAAATTAGAGAAATAAATAGAATAAATTCAAAAAAGTGTAAAATTATAGCAATAGTTTTGAAAAATTTAAGAAAACCGTGAATTTTCGGGCGTGAATCAAAATATTGCTTGTCGTGAGCGGGCGGGTCGGGTCGAAATTTTTTTAGTGATAAGCGTGAATGGGCGTGATATTTTTTTATTGCCACCGTGAGCGGACGGGCTGTGAATGAAAAATTAGGCCCGCGCCCACCTATAATCGATAATGCCTACCATCCCTTGAACTGCAAGTTTCCCCGAGGAAGGCAACCCCGTCATAAATTCATTAACAACATTCTCCTAGCTGCCCTCAAAAAAGTTAACATTCCATCCACTCTCGGATCAGTGAGCCTTTCAACTAAAAACGCCATTCGTCCAATGGTATATCACTTATCCCCTGGTCGAATGGTTCCCCGTTGATCTGGGACTTGTGCCGATTTTGCAGTTAGGTTTAACCCCTCATTTCCTGCCATCGAAAAGGCAGAAATACTTAAAAAACAAATAAGCTGGCTTCACAAATACTTTGCTCATACCAATTACCAACACTTTAATAATTTTTAATATATTTTTATTTGTTTATTTAAATATATTTTATTTTGATATCGTTTTTAATTGTATTTAATTATAAATTGAAATAGCTTTTTTAAAATAAATAATTTATTTAATTAAATACAGTGGAAACCGTTTAAATGCATGCAGATTAATTCAGGCCAAACTCTTACTAGGGTCCGAATATTAAACTTCCTGAAGCCTACTAATTTATCATCAGATAATCCTAAGGCTAGATGGTTTCACATCTATACCTTGATCTTTAGGCAAATCTTTAATTTGGGTCTTCACCTAGGTCTCTTCCTTTCCAAAAAATGTAAATTCTAATCTGGATATAACTGAGAAAAATAATTATTCGAAATCAACAAATTACGTTTTTGGACGTCAAGCGGAACTTTAAATTTTTTAAAATACAGACGCCAAAATAAGCCCAGAGAATTTTATTTTTTAAAACAAAAAAAATCAAAGAACTTGTTAGGCCAAATTCCATTTTTATAAAATAAATTTAGATTTGCAAAAGGTTATTAATTTATATTATATTAAAAGGGACCTTAGAATCTTTGCATTTATCCAATATTTGCATTTTTCAAGCAATATTTTCAAAATGACGCATTTTTTCGTATTTAGGAACATTACTTTTAACTATTTCGTATTTAAAAGGTTTTAACTGTATATAAAGTATTTAAGGCTATTTTATTTTATTTTCGCCACTACAAAAATTCTCATAAAATATTTTTTAATATACCGTGAACATTTTTATATTTCTATAATTAATTTAAGGTTAACTTGATAAATGTCTAAAATATTGAAGTATTATAGAAATTTGAGTGAGATATCGCAATTTTAAAATGGAGGTGAGCTATACCCCATTAAACCACTCCCGTTTTATCACCTTATTTATTACTGAGGATCGAATTAAAAATCTTTAATTGGCAAACCTATCCATCCTCCAAAAAAATTAGACCGACAAATATTTCTATTTTTCTCTTTAGGGCCGAGCTATGAATGTAGAAGTTTTAAAGGACTATAATATTTTAAGGCCGATGAACACATTTAATTTCCGATCAGAGCATTTTCATATCGAATCCAATTCAAGAAAATGATTTGTTCGACTGATCCGAGAATTTTTTTCAAAGATCCGTTCAAAATTTTCGAAATAGGGTCCAAGTGCGATTCAAATTTTTTTATTGGATTGTAAGTGTGAATTTCAATGCTGAAGAATAATACAATTTTGTGGTTATTCTTGAAAATAATATATTGATAAAAACATTAGTAAAACAAAATAATTGTTCGGTCGAGATCCAAATCAAAAATAGATAATAAGTTCAAGGTCGTCCGACTCCGATAAATTTCTGTCCAAGTACGATGAGATTCGGACTCAGATCGGTCCGTGCAGGACTCTAATTTCAATAAATGCTTATAAAATTGCGAATAATTTTAAACTTAGATGATAAAATAATATGGATTAGGTTTGATAAATAATATTCGAAAAATTAATAAATTGTCAACAAACAAGAAACTATTTATTATTTGACAATACTTTTATATTGTGGGTAATTAGGACAGGTAAAAGATGATATAGATGACGAAGAATGAACGGCGTTAAGATTGAGATATTTAACGTCTCGCGTTATATACTGGATAGGGTGAATGAATGATGAAGAGGACTTGGGTCTAAGAAAATTTTTGTCACTGTCGATAAAGGGTGTGGATAAAGAATTATCCTTGTTTACCCTGCGAGACAAGGGATCAGAACTGTATGTGTAAGTGTGCATAGGATTCATTATAGAATAATTCGACTCGGTGGCGTATATATCTTGTTGAGTCGGGAATTTAATGTAAGGATAACTGATTCGATTGTTGCCCCTCCCGGTATTATTAAGGGAATCATTTTGGGAATCATCCAAATTGAAGGTTTGGATGTCGAGAGGTAAATTCTTTATACGGTCATAATCAGAAACAGAAGAGGTCGTATTTCTTGTGTACGAAGAAATTTTTGAGATATTGTCGACGACTATACTATTTGTGTTATGGTTTTTGTTGATAGAAAAAGGTTTGTTTACTGATATTTCTGAACTCGATTTTGAACGAGAGGCAAAAGAAAAGGGTCTATAAATAACGTAAGGCGAAGGACATTTTTCAAGTGGCCATTCTCTGCGCTCTTGTGAATAGTTGCGTTCGTTATATGATTTGTTCAATCCTGTTATGGGTCTGGTCTCATTTTCCTATAATAAAAAGAGTTGTAATTAACCACATGAAATTGATAAATTCATTGGTGATATTTATGTCCGATATAATTCCCAATATTTAAAAAGGATAAGTAAATAAATAAAGGGTTTCCCATGCCAAAAAGGAAAAGTATCAATCATAAAAGGAAAGGTCCGATCAAAAAAGGAAAAGGGTCATTCATAAAAGGAAAAGGTCCAATCAAAAATCAAAAAATGTCAATCAAAAAAGTAAAAGTCCCAAATGAAAAGGAAAATCGTTATTTTTTAAAATATTTTTCGTTTTTTATATTTTTACTTACTATTATTTCAAAATTTTTGCAATTTAAGTCATTTTTAATGTTTATTCTTCTTATCTTTTCTCAGTTCTTTGCATTTTTTATAATTATCTTTTTTCTTTTTAAAAATAATTTATTTTCCCTGCTATTTTTCTACTTCTCCATTTTCATGTCATTTTTATCAATTTATTTTCCTTTTTTTATCCTACATAACAATTTTTTGATTTTTTAATATTTCATACCCTTATATTTTTATTTTTTAAATTTCACGTAATTATTTCTCTTTGGCAATAAAATTTTTTTAAATTAATATCTTTTGCATATCAAATTATCTCATTACAATTACGATGTATATATAGTAAGAAACAAAAATTTATATTAATCATTAATAATTTCCCCTCTTCTAAATTTTGGAATATAGATCTCCATATTTACACTTTGCATTCTCCTCAGATATTCCTCTCTCCGTGTTCTATAAAACGAATAAATTCCTCCTCGTTATTAGAATATGATAAGGGCTATATGGGGGTTTATTATTTGTATGCCCTCTTCTTTTTATCGATTAACTAATTTCATGGCTTGATGAAATGCTATATTATCCATCATAAAAATAATGCTATATTATCCATCATAAAAATTATATTCATCATATTACTTTCTTCAAAATGATTTGGTAATTTACAGAGTGGCTAAAGTGTAGCGTTGCAGGGGTCATCAAAACATCGAATTTAAATATTCTCGCAATCGTTTCAGCTATGATAATATTGTTCATTCTGTTTATCCCTAGGCACCCTTTTAATAGTATTTTTATTTTATTTATGAATATCCACATAACCTTCTCATTGATATTGAAAAACTACTCTCATCGATAAAAATAAAATTTTCTTTCATATAGGCTACATCCGCAAACCAATATGCGTATTCTTTGCCAATCTATATATTTGTTTAGGTATTTTCTAAAACTGAATTTAGTGATTCCCTTTAAAATTCTATACCTAAATCCAGATAGTAATCTTGATAGCATATTTTTTATATTTCTTCATCATATTTTTCTTTAATCATTTCACATAACTTTTTTAAAGATAAAGTGCAATCCAAATTTATACAATTTAATATATGTATATTCTTCATGTTCTTCATTTAATTTCTTGCAAGCATGTGAGCATGGTAAACTATATTTTATTGCATTTTTGAGATTAGATTATCATTTATATAGTTTTATAGCTTATTTTAAAACATGATGCCATATATTTATAATACTCTCCTAATTTAACGCGTCAATTATTAGAGCCAAAAAATATTAATAAAAAAATTCGATCGCCAAATTAAAATAAAAATTAAGTGAAATATAAAAAATCAAAATATAAGAAAAAATCAAAAAATCGCTAGGTAGGCAGGGTTGCCAGATGTCACGATTTAGCCGTGATTCTCACGATTTCATACCTAATTTTTTACTTACCCACATTTTCTCATGTTTTTTGAGTAAATTAAATTAATCACACTTAGTCTCACACTTATTCTCACGTTTTTAAATTTTTTCAAAATATTTTTAAAAACAAATATAAAATTTTAAATTAATTTTATTTTAAAATATTTAAAAAAATTGTAGTATTTGTTAATAGTCCAACTAACAAATCATATTCATTGATCAATTACCCACAACAGAAATTCAATTTTTAGAAAGTTTATCAAGTGTAATTATAATATGAATTTAAATAACTATACATTTCTTTTATGGATTTTATAAATCTTATATTAAAACTCGTAAAATTTTAAATGAAATAAATTAAGGGCAAATATTATAAAAGATCTAAAAAGCAATCATCCGTTTTCAATACTAAGGGATTCATAGATTAAAGGTAATATAAAAACATTTCCCTTATTACTTAGACACTTCAACAAAAGAATGGAATAAATGTTTAATTATTTAAAAAATTTTCGTCTGACAGTGAAACCCCTAAAGACATATCTAGATGCTTGCTAGAAAATTTAAAATTCGCTGAACTTTATATTGCTAATGTAACGGCCTATTGTGCAGATAACGCTTCTGTAAACTTTGGGAAAAATTAAAGTATTTGGACAGATTTGAAAGGCCATAGTAATAATATTATACCAATGGGTTCAGTGGCGTAGCCAGGATTTATCCATGGGGGAGGGGGGGGGATTAAAATTTTTTTGGGGGGCGAAGCCCCCAAACTACTTTTAAATATTGGCAATATTATGTGCTTTATTAGTGTCTAATCACTATAGTAACAAGCATGAATAAAAAAAATATTAGTAACAATTTTGGCTAAATTTATGATTAATAAGCGACTGAACACTGAAAACATTATTCTAAAAATTTAATCTATGTTTAGTCCATTGTAAATTAATCCATATAGTTTATAAAGAAAAAAATTTGCTCCCTGAACCTTACATTTTTTAAGATCACTCAATATACCTGATTGAGTGTTACAAATAATTCTTTTTTAAATTTTAGATATAGATTTTATTAAAATACTTTAGTATAAATAAAATCTCTTTATTTAACTATGCATTTATTTTAATGATAAAATACAATAAAATAAATTTCAAAATGTAGAAATTTTTATGTAGATTAAAATTTATTGTAAATAACTATATTTAAAAAATATATAATTCAATAAAATATAAGTAATTCTTGTACGGTATTTTAAAAAATATAATTTAACAATTATAATTAATACAAAATAATCTATAAATATTTCTTATTAAAGCAATACTTTTATTAAAAATACATAAATATTATGACTAAGAATTCATTATAATCATAGATTTGAATTTATAAAGAGAGGTCTACTTTTCTCTGAGATTTGGCTAATTCATCTAGAATCAAATTTTTATCTAGAATAATCTCCTTATAAATATTTAAAAGGGCTAATCCATTTAAACGGTTTTCACCGGTGCTATTTCTTAAATGGGTTTTTAACTTTTTCAAAGTTGAAAAAGACCTTTCATTGGTGCAGGTACTAATCGGTAAAGTAGCTAAAATAAAAAGTAAAGTTTTGATATTTGGCAGGGAATCTAAAGTGCAATTCCATATGGAAAGAGCCTGCAAAGCATTTTTAGGTCTCAAAGAGTACTCTATTCTGTCGAGATTTTTATACCAAAATTCGACATCACAAAGTAACTTATCATACGATCCTGATAAATCATCAGAATAAAACTCAGAGATTTTCTTAATATCCTCTGGCGTTTCATGTGTAATCAACAATTCAGACTCAACCGGCAGAAGAAAATAAAAACTTTTTAAAATAAAATTATAACTAATAAATCTTTCTTTAAATTGAAATAAAAATGTGTCAATAAGGGGAATAAAAATATTTATTTTATAAAAATCCTCAATCGAAGAGGCATCAATATTTTAGCAATTTGACTGTCTAGAAACTACTCTAGGTTTAAAAATTTCAATCCCAAACAAATTAGCGATCTCCTTTACTTTCTTGTAAATATCATGAAATTTTTCATCCACATTTTCTCTGATATTTGTTAATATTTCAACAATATCCTTTTGCCCTATTCATAACCTCTCTTAAATCCAAATTAATTTTTTGAAGTATTTTGCTAAAATTAAGTATAATTAAATAAAAAATATACACATTGAATTGATATTAAAAATTGTGGCTTCGTAATCGCCGTAAAAAATTTTCAGCATCTGAGGAATCCTTTTCTTTGCTGGATACGTAGGATTCGAGTGCTGCAAAAATAACTTCATATAATTCTATGAAGAGTCTCACTGATTGTTGTCTTTCGATAAACCTAGTTGGGCAAAATCATTTTCGTTTTTTTTTGGATTATTTGAATCAATATCATCAAATGTTCGGATAAATAACTGTCTCTTTTTGGGTGGTGTGAAAAAGTCACAAACCGATGATATTGTTTCTGAATTTTGAAAAATATATTAAATTATAAAAAGATATCTATAATACATAAAAAAATCTAATAAATTCCAATTAAATTAAACAAATTTTACGTAAACTGTTCCGGATGTCTCGAATTTCACATGCCTCGGATATCATCAAATTTAGGCAATGTGAGCTGCAGTGAACATATAAAGCGGTGCTATAAAGCTCTCTAATTCTTGACTGCACTCCCTTAACATGACCACTCATTGAGGGAGCTCCATCATATCCCTGGCCTCTCATTAGATTTAAATTTAAATCTAGATCTTGAAGGGATGCTAAAATTTCTTTGGCTATCGTCTCTGATTTAGTATCATGTAAATCAATAAATTGAACAAAGAGTTCCTTCATTTTATAATGACCTGATTCCATATCAATAAACCTTATTGCTATGGATAATTGCTCTATGTTACCAACATCCGATGTCTCATCCGCCAGAACACTAAAAAATGGTGATGCATTCACTTTTGTAGAAATTTCTTTCAATATAAACTTATTGCATATGGATATAATTTCATTTTGAATGCATGGACTAAGGTAGGTGGCATTTTTAGCCGAGCTTTCAAGCTTTATATAATTATCATTATTGTTGCATAAAAGTTTCAGCAATTCCTTAAAATTCCCTTCATTGTGAGAAGATCCTAGCCAAATGATTGCATCAATTATTATAATTATTCTGGCTCTGTTGGTTGTAACAATATCAAATTTTTTTTTATTCAATACATTAGATATTGATATCTTTTGATTCATAGAGATGGCTTTTAAAGCATTAGATATCTCACAAGAATTGAGATGATATTTA